AAACGGGATTTGGGGTGCCGGTGCAACTAAGAGGCCCAGTCAAAATTTTTTTTTTAATGAGAATATAATTTTATTTATTTATTTATTGAATGTGTTAGAGCATTTTCAATTATTTATAATTTTTCATCAAATTTAAATTTGATGAAAAAATAACAAAAAGTATATTCTAATAATTTCATCAAATCTATATCAAGAGATAATTTTTTCACCCAATTAATGATGAATCAAATATTTTTTACTAAATTTTCAGTAGTCATATTTTTACTTAAATTTGAAAGATTTTGAAAAAATAATTGCTGGTGATATTTTTTTTCTATAAATAATGATTAAAACATATTTTTGGGATAAGTTTAAAATTTTTCAAAAAGATTTAATAAAAAAAAGGGGAGACTTTGATCATTTCCATTCCATATATGTAATGGAAGATTTCCATTGCTTATTTAATGGCTATGAAAGAGGAATATGCAAATTTATAATTAATTTAAATTAAAAAAGATTATTACCTTCACTGTTGCAAATTTTTAATTAGAATGATTCATATGAGATCAAGGTTTTAACTAAATTTTCACTCAAATTTAATCACAAAAGAAAGTAAGTATCGAAGATTAATGTTTGTGATTATATTTGAGAGAACCAGATGCTGAAGTCACAAAGCTGCCTCTTTTTTTTCTTGGTTATAATGTTATCAAAGGAACAATTGATTTACTGTTACGATTAGGCTACATAAATTATCTCAAGCTAACTAATGATATTTTAGTTGTGATACAAGTGTTATCTCAGCATATTATCTTAGTCTGGGACAAAATAATTTCTCATATACTTAAGAAAGAAAACCAAACTCAGAATAATTTTATTATTGGAATTATTTAGTCATGCAACAATGATAGAGAGCTCTAACTTTAAAATTCTAAAAAGAGTTCTAGTAATGTGGTAAGAGTGAAAAAATAAAATAAAATAAAAAAATAGGCACACATATCATATCACATGTAGATCCCACTTCTTACCACATCACTAAAACTCTCTTTAAAACTCTAAAATTATAACTCTCAATCTTTATTCTTAACCATGCCCCTTATTGACTAATCAAACATGATCAATATGAGGTGTAGCATTCTCATAGGTAAACAAGGTTCAAAATATGAAAAATTGAAAAGATATAAGATTCCAAAGCTTGCCCCACCAATTCAAATTCAACCAAATGTTACAATGACTTTGGTAATAAAGACAAGTTAATTGACCATGAATATGAATTCATTTTTGTATTCCTTGTTTGTTCCCCAATTCCTACAACATTAATCCAAAGATTTGAAAAGTGGAAAAGTATCCCATACGAGTTACTTTCCTTGAACCCTCCAACATAACATCATCCAAACAGGACACACACTATAATTCTGAATTGTGATGGAGAGAGGGTGTGGTGTGGTGGGTCCTAAAACGCCATTCTCACTTGAGCAATGATGATTAATGCTGTGTTTGGTTGGAAAATTTGGAAAGGATTTTGAAAACGAAAATGAAAAAGATAGGTGAAATGTGTATAAAACATGTCTATATTTCATCTAGTTTCACACACATTTTTTCTTTTCCTTTTCAAATTTCTTTCCAAATCTCCCAACCAAATACAACATAAATGAAATTTTTGTCAAAAAACGTGAGTTCATAATTCCACATGGCTAGCTTGTCATCTTTTCTTGTTGGACAAAAAAATCATCACGTACACATTATACAAAAACAAAAAGTTTATGATCGGAAAATTTCTCAAAAATTTATCAAGAATTACAGAATAATAGTACATATTTGAAATTGTTGTTATGAATCCACTTTTTGAATGAAATAAATTTCAAATTCTAGCATCAACAAATTTTATGTTTAGTTATGATCCTATATGACTATAATTTATTAAATCATTTTTTTTAAAAAATTTAAGGAATAAAAATGAAAGTACTAGTTATGATCCAATATATGACTATAACTTATTAAATTATTTTAGGAATAAAAATGAAAGTACTTACATAACATTCGTTTGGCATAAATTAAAATAGAGTTTTTTGGTTAAAATAATTTAAAAAAGATAAAATAAGTTTTTTAGTCTAATAAGACAAAAGGTCACATCAAAATCATAATTATTTTTTTTTTCACAAAAATAAAAAAAAAACCAAAAAACTTATTACAAACGAGACTTTTTAGTTACAAATTAAAATAGTTAAAAAGTCAAAAAATCAACTCACATTCTAAACGAACCCGTAGTATACACTATTTTTGGACTTTGTTTGGGAAGTCAAACGTTGGACTTTTTTGACTAAAATAGTCACAAAAAATAAAATAAATTTTTTAGTCACAAAAAATGAAACACCACATCTAATTCATAATCATTACATTTTTTCTCTCATAAAAAAACTAAAAAAGTCAAAAGTTAAAAATTCTTTCCAAATAAAGCTTTTTAATCCAAAGTTAAAATAGTAAAAAAATTTAAAAATTAAAAAATTAACCAACTTTCCAAAACGAATTGTTTCAGATCACTCCGTACTGTTTTTGAAAGAAATAATCACTAGAGGCATGAGGCATAATTTTATTTATTATATATATATATAACCTTACGTTTCTTATATGTATATATATATATATATAATCTTACATTTGTGCTAAGCATAGCCAATTGGTTTGTCTTTAAAATTTTTCTTCCCAAAAAAAAAAAAAACCCCTTACATTTGTGGGCATTGTTGAGTCAAATCATGTAATTGGTCCTTATTGTTTGTAGGTTTACAGTATAGAAACGGTCTAATGAGGTCTCCATACTCTGTGGATGAGATATTTTCCATCTTTTTTTTTTCTGTCTTGAAAAAGTTTTTTTTTTTGTAAGTAAAACTATTTTTCTCGTTATAAATTGATTTTTTAATATGAGACCCTATAAATAAATTATATTTGTCAAAAGAAACAACAATCAAGAATATAAGAGAAGACTAATATCAACTTTAGGATGCTTAGAACACCTCCATTTGATATGTCAAATTTAATATGACAATTTAATAATTTTATTTTGATATAACAAATGAACTCCACCCAATGTGCCAAAAGTTGACATGGCTTTTGAAATCACCTCTTCATGACAATTTTGACAGAAAGACCACTTTTTTTTTCTCAAATAAAAGAGTATAAATTTTAAAAATAATAAAATAATACATTTGACGTATCGGATAAAACGTTGCCATGTTAAATTGACATATACCAATTTGTCACTTAAATCCTTAAAAAAAATTGATAGAGAGCTTCAAAAGCTCTCTAACATGAGCTCTTGTGATGTGGCAAATAAAATAAAATAAGAATAATAATAATACACCGGCCAAAACATTACATTACTATATGAGATCCACTATTAGAGCTCTGTTAGAGCTCTCAAATTAAAACTTTTAAACATTATTGAACTCAATAGGACTAAAATGAGAGACATCAAAATTAAGGAAGAGATTTAAAGTCGCGTGCTTACTGGGCCTACACTCAGTTTTCGTGGAGAGACTAATTCCGGTGACTAGGCCCACATTAACGTAGTCTCGCACATTTTGGTGAGGTATAGGTTGAAGTGGGTGGGTTTAAAATACCTGGTCCTCTTTGGTTTGCCTTAAAATCAGACTCAGCCCAAAGTCAACCTCACCCACTACAAAAAGAAATTCCTTGAGATCTAATTCAGCTTGATTAGCAGTTTATTAAGATCTTCATGATGAAGTGAGAGAGTAATGGCAAAGCAAGTGATCCTAACAACTTACTACTGTGAGTCTGGTGAATATCATTTTCCCAACTTGATTGCCACAAACTTAGGGTGTGTTTGATTGGGAGATAAGGGGGGATTATTTATTATGTGAATTGTAATGCAGGAGAAGCATCCAATCCGACGTTTGTTTTTTTTTTTTAGTCCGCCGGGTATGGAGTCCGGTCGGACTTCTTATTCTCCATATGGGGAATTATACTATCCTAAGGGGGGCGTAGGATAATTTTGGAGGGACTATTTACTGTTGGAATTAGGTGGTGAAATGATCATTTTGACCTTCTACTATTTAATTATGTATTATATTTAGTAAAATTTAATAAAATTTAATTGTCTCAATTTAAAAATAAAATAATTTTATTTAACTTTTTATTGATGTTTCATTTATTTATTTTTTAAATAATTTTTTATAGATATTTTATTGATGTTTTATTTTAAAATTTTGTTTATATTATGGTGGCGCGTGGAGGCGCGTGTGACCTCAGATGATGATGAATCTGGCGGCGTTGGCTTCGTCGTGAAGAGACGAAGGTTTTGGTGTTGTCAAATCTGTGTATTGGGTAAGGATGAGATATGCAGTAATCTGCCAAGAGAAGAAAGTGTGATGCAGAGGCTTAGGAGAAACACCTGTGCTCTGATACCATGTGAAACAAATTGAAAGAGAGTTGAGAGAGTGATATTGACAGAAAATTATCTGTTATGCATTCTGTAATGAGAAACTAATTCTAGCCTCCATAATATAGGAGCTGATTTACAAACATCATTATGATGTGTTGCATTAAAATAAAGAAAAGGAGCCGAAAGAGGAATCGGCAGAAAGCAGCAGCCGAAAGGTAAAGATTAAATAATACCTATACATATTATATACATACAAACATATTAATATATTAATATATACAAACTATACTTATAAGAGTAATATATTAATATGTATGTTAACACCCTCCATGTAATCATTTCCCCGAGCGACCAGTCAAATTTTGAATGTAGTAGGTTTTCACCTTCACATATATTGTAAGACGAGCAATATGTAATCTATTTCTACACCGACCTTTTAAAAAAGTTGCCTTCCTCAAAGGTCATATGGGGTCCGATCTGCGGACTTTGAGGGGAGAGGGGAGAAAAGAACGACACCACCACAAATTCGCAACATTACACCATTGAGATGACGTAAATTTTGAAGTACCTGCACAAGCAAGACTTTGCTCCCAACAATCAGATACTAACTTAACCAGGACTACCATTATCAAAATCGATAGATTGCATTGTGAAAAGAAAAAAATATATATTTAAGTTAAAAGTTGAACGGGACCATCCGCCCGAAAAAAAAAACTTCAATTGAAGCAGGGCTACGATTTTGTTCAGTTGCAAGGAAAGTAACTGTTTGTTGTTGCTATAGAAATGACACAAACACTGAAATGAAAGAAAGGTTCAGCACTCCATCACTGGAGTCTTTCTCAACAGGGGAATACACTGACTTCCATCCAAATATTGACTCAGCCTCCGGGAAGTAGTTAATGTACTGCAGGGCGAGGAGCACGCGGCCTCACAGGGGTCTTTGAAGGACTTACCCTACGTTTATTAATGGAACTTTCAGTAAAAAGAACATTTGTCTGTTTAATCAGAAAAAAAACTCGGTAGATACAGCTACTGTTCTGTAATATTTACCTAATGGGTTCGGTTCCCAAGAGCCTCCCGCTACAGTTCAGTGCTTCAATGGCACTCTCTGCCTGCACGTAAAGTAGAAGAATCAGTTTTGTAGACGAACCCAAATGTTGAAAAATATTCATATGTGATACCTTTTCTTATTCCTTGCCTCCAATTTGTAGACAAACAAAGGAAAGCATAAAAGGAACAATTTTCCCATAAGTTTATCCATTTGCAGTTCATTATTGTTATCCATAAATAAATAAATAAGGGCTTGATATCTTCCACATTCTAGCGATTTTCCCATTGTGTTTACAAGAAAGACTCACTTCATCTGATTAATAAGCATATGCTCTTATTTTGATTGGAATCAGATCTGATGTCTCCGTCTACTACTGCTCTTTAGGAAATATTTCACTACTAGAGATGGAAAGCAAAGATCTACTATCAAGCTAAACATAATTAGTTTAACTAGGAAAGATAAATCATATCAAAAGGTATGGTCATGTAGAAGCAAGACAGATGTTGGAAATTTTAGCTTAACGATGTTAAATGTTTCAAATTTCCATACAAATCACAACACCTGATAAATCATGGGTTCAACAAAGTTAACATACAAATAATCCAAGCCCTGTTTTATACTAGGAATGCTAATATATTCATTGTCTTGAGGGAGACATTGTAAAGGATTTAGAAATTGTTAATGCCTCAAACATACACACATCGAGTGTAACCAACATAAATGCATAAGAGAAAAGGTTTAATGAGCAATATTTAAATTTTGTTAATAACATGAAATACAGATCCAATTGTCCACCTTAAATGAATCACATTTCAACAATTTATTTTCCAATAAAGCTAAACATTGAGCTAAGCAACACGTATACTATGCACCCATAAAGTGACGTAGATATCAGATGGATGATAAAGCCTCAATCCTAAAGAACAAAACTTAAGCAAGCGACTTAAGAACAAAAGAAGTCATGCCGATAAGAAAACAAGATAGCAGAAGAGCACTCATATGAAAGGATACCATAATTTCCCATACATAGCAGAGCAATGAAGCCATAAATTACAACTGAACAAGAAGAATCTAAGCAATAATTGAGTTATCCCTCAAGTTGATACAGAAAATTGAACTCACCACAGCAAATTCAACAAAAGCAATGCGGGTTGAATGCACATTATCCCCCAAAAGCCTCAGGCGAGAAACCTGCATCAGAGAGAAAATTTAGCCAGTACTTGAAGAAAACTTCTTACCTACCTGATTGTGGGAAAAAAGAGAAAAATACAAATTTTGGGCTCTGTACTGACCTCGCCACAACAAGATTCGAAAAATAACTTGACATCAGCTTGAGAAACCTGTGCATTAACAACAAATTCTTTTTAATTATCTTATGAATAGAAAATGAATTCTTTCAACACGCAATTTCTCAATTACCTGTTGAGAGTTATCCAATCACAATTTTCTATGTACAAGTAGGAGAACAAAAGAACCAACCTAGAAAGCATCATATGAAACACAATGATGAAATCATAAAAAGTAAACGGAATATTGATGTATATACCTGCTTATCAATATTTGTACAATATACAGTCCTTGCACACATCTCTCGTTCATCTTCTGACTGTATATAAAAAATATTTGAAGCTTAAAAGATGGAAACTTCCATAGACCTAAAATTTAAATATTAACCAAAAGAGAAGAAAGCGTGTTGTGGAAGCATTTTGCAGACATGAATACAGCAGAGATGGCTAGAATTATCCATACCCTAGGGAGAAATGTTGGATTCACAGGAAGGATAGCAGTTTTCGAAGGTAAGACCCTAATTTGATAGAAACCTATGATTGTCCCACAGAGGTTGAGAGCTTCTCTTGCACCTCCTGTCAAATTATTTTTACATGAAAAGTGACACAAGAGAATCACAAAATCTATTTTCAATGGTTTATACAGATTTTCAGCCCAAAACAACCAACTTACGCTCATCAGCAAACTCTACGAATGCAAAGCGAAGAAGTGAATGTGGATCGCCACAAATTCGGCAATCAACAACCTTCAAAGTAAACATACAAAAAAAAGAATGTCAAAAAGGTTATAATACTGTTTCTAACACATCAAACATCCAAGAAACATAATCATATTGTCTAGTATCTACAGAAAAAATTGTTTCTGCTGAGTTAGGGAAAATATATATATTTTTTAAAAATGGGACAGAAAAGGACAAATGGAAAAAAACAAATTCACTTATAATGACAAATGGAGTGACAAACCACTAGTAAAATACAATAATTCACCAATGGAATGAAAGTCTTAAATTGAGCACTTCAGCACATTTTTAACGACATCTAAAATGGCACAAAGTTGAACATAGCTATATACAGCAAGGAAGAACAACAAGATCTTAGGCATAGCACTATGGAACGATGTTAAAGCAATTATTGGACCTTGTATGGAATTCAGATGCAACACTTCTAAGAAGTAAGCAGGGTAATTCACAAGTCTCCTACAAGAATAGAAATTATGAGTGCAATATCTCTACTTTGATCAAAATTAGTTCTAGTGGTTGGATCAGAAACAAGTGATACAACATAACTGTTCTCATAAAACACTCCAAAAGGGCCCATACAAGAAATACTTTCAGCGAATGCATGCTATGGAAGATGAGATGCAATGATGCACAAAAACCATGGATTCAAACCAATGTGTGAACAAAAAGTTACAAAATCATTTACACAGCATGCATCTGCCACGAGAGGACATCATTGGTAATGATGCGTACAGCAAAAAGTTGAAACAATAAATGGATTAAGTCAATACAAACCCATATATGAACAACATTCTACAGAATGTACTATCACCTCAATACAAACACATTTATGTTTTTATGGATTTTATTGTTGCATGAGCAATATTTTGATATCTTCTGTTGATTGTTGGGGTATTGTACTATTTATGGATTATTATCTTTTATCAATTCTCATATGTGTTTCACGAGATATTCTTGTTGACTATTTTGAAACGAGTGTTTTTTATGTCATATACTTGGCCTAGAATGACATATAATTGTGTCTTGTGTCTTTGTCATTGTGCATGCAAATTATATAAAGAGTGTGCCCAGCATAAAGCAGCTCTAAGTCCAATCAAGCGGGGTACTGCTAGAAAGGCGTGCTCAAGCAGGGTCACGCTAGAATCGCGTGCTCGAGCAGAGGCATTTTTATTTGTACAAATTCCAAAGAGGAATGCTATAGACCCACAATTCACCCCACAGTGACGGGGCAAAGGAGTTGGGTTTTACACAGTTGAGTAAGTGACAAATCAAATTGACAAATAATCTACCATGTCTTTGTAGGTAAAACTAAGGGAGATTTTTAAGGTAACCTGAGGTGGAATCACCTGTCGCCTATTGTCATGCCAAACTTTCATAAATCACAACAAATATAATCCATGGATCTTATCAACACCACATGTATTCAAGTTCTTTCCAACAATGCATTTGTTTTAATTGTGCTATTCCTTTCTCTTTCAGTTCTTACCATAAAAACAAAAAATGTTATAACAAAAATGGATAATGATAATAAATAAAGGTAGATAATAAGAATTGAATAGAGACATGTGAGTCACGAGGCTGATTGCCCTCTGTGGATGCAAAGCGGCAACAATAAACAGGTACAATGTTAGTATAAAAGCTTCAGACGTCAAAAACAATAATATCCAAGTGATGCACCAAGTTTTTTAAAGAAGCAATTTCAAAGTAGTCATTTAGATACAGCCCAGGTTCGCACTCACCAGAGCACTCAAGTAGTTAGTCATTTATCAAACAGATAATACAATGAATTAACTGCTGTTCAAGCAAGAAAACTTACTTGTCCACATTTACTACTAAATAAGGCAGCAAGCTGCTCTTCAGTGACCTAGTTTGAAGTGAGAAGAAAAAAATTTGTTGAATGAAAATTATCAATTACATAGATCAATTACATATTTAACAGTATAAGCACAAAAGTTTGGCTTGATTTCTACTTACATTATGATCAATTTCAGAAACATACACAGTTCGCCTAATACTGTCTTCTCTTTGAGCTCTAAAAGCTCTCCCATTCGACCTCCTCCTCCCCTGGTTACCATTGTTTCTTCTCTGGCAAAACACAAAAAAGAAATTTCAGGAAGTCTCACAAAAAAAGAACACATACAAGCAAATACAATACAAAAGTCAATGTGTCACAAGAAACTTAGTAAATGCTTTATTAGTAAAATCAATCTGTTGTTGAATGTTGAACAACAAACCACACTAAAAAGAAAGGAGTAAAATTATTTTCAGTCGAATCACGCAGTTTAGAAACTTACTAAAAACAACAATTAATAAAAAAGCATGAAGAAAATATATGTTAAAACCCATGATGACTAATATTAAAACATAAAAGTATAACAAATGAAAATGGAGAAGAAAATCACAAAACCCCATTCACCTAGAAAACAAAAACCAGCAAGTCAGAGTCTAGCAATTGAAAACAGCATTGCAATGACATAATCAGTAGTTACAACAAAACAGATAAATACATAAACTAGGACTCCACACAGATAAATTAAGACAAGAAGCAAAACCGCACAAAAGCCAACAATCTACAATAAAAAGCACATCCAAATTCAGAAATCCCACTTCAAAACACATTAAGGTTGTGTTTGGATCATGGGTTTGGGTAGGATTTGGAAAGGGAAAGGAAAAAGAAAAGGCGAGGAAAAGGCAAGGGATTTTATGTTTGTGCCACATTTTCTTCACCTTCTCCTTTCCCTTTCCAAATCTCTACTAAATCCATAATCCAAACACAACCTAAGCAATGCTAGTTGGAAAATGATTAAAAAAAAGATCACCAATGAGGACAGAAATGCATACCAAAACCTGGAAGCTTCATCTATTTAAAACCCAAAAGGAAAATATGAGTTCGGAAAATCGATTTAAATCATATTATTTTATTAACCATGCACCAAGATGGATCAAGATCACACAATAAACCCCATAAGGATAAAAAATAAAAAATAAATAAAAAAAGAAGAAGAAAACAACAAAACACTCAAAGAAGACCTGTTCTATCAAACACACAATGCATACCGAATTTTAAAAGGCAAACAGTTATAAACAGGTAGATTAAAACCGGCAGTTGGATAACCACGAAAACGAGAAATTCAATCCTAAAGATCCCTATACACATTGTAAACATGTGGCAATTCAGAAATGTTAATCGAATCACATTAGAAAATGGCAGATGGATTGTACGGATTAAAACCCCATTTATGTGAACACGACAAGAAGAATGTATCCGTTTCCGACAAATTGAATGTTCATAATAATTCTCCTAAGACATAAACACATGTCGATTTGGAAACTCAACATATATTTAGCCAATGATTAACAAAGATGAATATGCACGCAATTGAAATCATAAAAAAGCATGAATTTGCAAGCAACAAAACAGAACACAAGAAACACGGAATCTTCAACACAACCACATGATAATTCACTAAGCAGAAATGGGAATTTCACAGATTAAAACCCTTGAGCACTGAACTGTCAACAACACATTCCAAAAACATAAGATAAAGAAAACCCATCAATCAAATGCAGAATTGAATCAAAATAAACAACAGATATGGTAAAATTAATCGAAAATCGAGAAGTGAATTATACCCTTCGATTGTTTGGGTAGCCATCAATTCCCAAATTCTTTTGAGTTGGAGAGAAATTGTTGGGCAGAGACTGATCACGATTACGATCATGCAAGTAAGATGAAGGAAAGAATTCCTTCGCGAGGGGATTCAGCTTCAGCTTCGACAGCATGTCGACAATGTCTTGCATTTTGAATTCCGATTTGGAATCAGAGTTCTTAGAATCAGTAATCACAGATTCAGCATTACCATTGGCAGTAGTGTAAGTGTCTGGTGAAGAAGACTCAACAACAGGAACTTCCACCACTGCCTCACCAGTCACCTCCGCACCAGCAGCCATGGAATCAAAAACCCAAAACCCAACAACAAAAAAGACTCTAAATTTATAGAAAATTCTCTATAAAGAGCAATTCTCTCTCTCTTTCTCTAACCCAATTTTGCTCTGCATAGAAAGAGACTGGGGTTTAACAGATTTGGGTGATTTAAAGTGTATTCTGTTGGGATTCTTGTTTTCTCTACATTTATACACAAAAAGCCTATAGACACAGGTGGTGTTGTGAATTAGAGATGAGGAGAGAGAAAGTGTGAATTAGGGTTTTTGAAGAAATTGATCACAGGTGTTGTTGTGGTTTTTCTTGGTGGTGGTTTTATGGAGGAAAAACAGGTGGCCTTTGGCTGTGGCCAAGCCCTGTCCTTCTGTAGAGAGAGAAAGTGAGTGTGTATATATTTGTATGTATATAAGAGTGAGTGTGTGTAGAGAGAGAGAGAGAGAGAGAGAGTTGAAAGTGCATTAAAGTGAGGGACGTTAAAAATGGAGGAAGAGGACAGCTAACGTAGGATGTGTTGGAGGCCCAACTTTTGTTACTTTGTGTAACAATAGATATGTCATTCATAACTGCCTTCTTCTCAGTTTGTTGGGATTGTAATTTTTATTTATTTTTCATTTTTTTCCTTTATTTTACTACTATTTATTTTCTTCTTATCCTTTATTTATTTTCTTCCTATCCATTATTTACTGATTACTTTTTTTTTCGTAAAATATATTAATTCTTGTTTTCACTGTTTGAAGTCACGGAATCAGAAATTTGACTTGTTCTTTTGGGAAGAAAAAAAAAAAAAAATTAACTTTTAACTTTTTACTTATTTTGGATCATATCACCTTTTACATTTTCTACTCTAAAAAAGACAAAATAGACTAAAAAAATCAAAAAATTAACTTTTTACCAACTTCTTAAAATACCACTCTGTAGAGCTAACTTTTGGCTCTTCTTCGTCACAAATTATTCTGATACATATTTTTTCGCAATAATATGATTTCTTCTTGAATTTTTGAATTATCAAAAGATATTACTTTAAAGAAACAACAAAAAAATATTTTGCAGAGTTTTAAAAATCATTTTCATAAAATCAAATAATGGTGAGTGTTTTAAACTTGTTTTGGTTTCTGAGACCAAAAAAAAAAAAAAAAAAGTTATTTGTAACTAATTTTCTCCTTAATTGTAAGAAAATATTAATGACAACTCAAGTGGTGTCCTTTAATCTAGGATTTGAGTTTTGGAAGGTTAAAAACACATATAATTTTTTATCGAAAAAAATTATTATAAAATTTTAAATTTTGATTTATACCAACACAAAAAAATAAATAATATTACTGTTAATCGGGCATTCTTTGTCAACATAATTAAGAACAAAAATATAATTAGACATATTTCTTGTCTACATTAACTTATCAAAATAACAACTATTATTATGTTTCCATCTAGTAAAGTTAACTATTTGAAAATGTTGTAATCAACCCCCTTTCATAATTAATATATATATAAACATCTATAATAAACTTGACATCAAAACCTTAATTAATATTTTTCTCAATAAATAAGATCAAGTAACTTATTACAAAATCATCTTCTATGTTTTGTTTTGAAAAAGAAAATTATAATTGAAAAAATATATTTTTATGAGTATGATGATAATCAATTTTAATAAGTAGTATTAAATTTTATTAATTTATTTTAAAAATGTCATGTTGAAATAGAGAATATCTTTATTTCCAAACAATATTCTTATTTCTAGAGAATGAATAAATAAGAATAAATGCAAAATAAGATGCATAAACAAATTAAAGTGTAATTTATAAAAGAAGAAAAAAAAACATAAATGACACATGAATATAAAACAAGAATAGTAACAAATAAAGAATACAAATAATTTTAAACAATATAAAAATATAACAAATAGAATATATCAACATTTGATAAACTTCAATTTAAAAACTATTTTTAAAATTTTATAATGTAAATAATTTTAAAAGTACGAACTAATAAAATTTTAAGAGTGCGAACTCCAATTTAAAATTATCTTATTTATTAGTATAATAAATATAATTTAAAAAAAATTTAGGATGCGACTGTCCCTGCCCTCTCCCGCTAGATTCATCCTTGCTTTAATCTGAATAAAGGCGAGAAAAATCCTTAGACACATGGAAAAATATAGAAAAATACATAGAAGTGTTCAAGAATGTATATGTATATAAAATATATATATATTAAAAAAAAATACTAAAACTTTTTTTTAAACATTTTTTAAAAAACTTTAATGACAACTTTGCGAGTTATCCTTAGCCTGACTCATTTCTAAAATAGTTACTTGTAATTGCTGTGGGGTAGTTTTTGGAACTAATATTACAAGGATGGAAAGTTTCAAAATTCAAGCCTTCAAGGAGTAGTCTCACCTTTGGATGTGTTTTTATATTTATTTATAATTCATCTCTTTTTGGGTGACCTTAGGGTAATTTATATGAATTGGGCCGAGCTAGGTAATGGGCCGTTGTGAGCCACAATAAGAAGGGCGGAGTAAAAGGGCCTTGGCGTTAGCCCGGTCCCCAAAAGACCTTGTTGTTATCCCGATCCAAGAGAGCATTACAGACAGCCCGATCACCACACTCAAAGTTAGCCCGGTCGTGGCATGTTGTGGTTAGCTCGGTCCAAACCTTGCTATTTCTTAGCTCGGTCTAAACATATCATGGTTTGTACAGGAGAAGCCGAAGTAAGAACAATGAATGGAAGAAACCGAACTGGATTTAGTTCGGCCTACTCTGCGGCTTAGCATAAGCCATGCTTACTTCGGTTATATTGGAATCTGACCATGGTAAAACCATCTCACTTGGTTTAAGCAGTGAGGGGGGTGTTGAAGGATGAGCATTATCTTTCAAGAATGTGATTCCTAGGAGGACTCTACATGGAGGAGTAAGAGTCCTACTAGGATTATGTCACACGGAATCTATAAAAGCTCATAACATCACCTATGAAGAGGTAACACAACTTTGATTCTCGAATACACTGGGCTTTTGTCTATTTGTCTATTTTGCTGACTTAGGCATCGGAGAGATATCTGGCACACACCCGTCGGCTAGCTCACGTTTGTGTTTTCAAGGAATAAAGCGACGTCGTACGGAGGAGCGCAGACTTGATCAACAGGATTATACGAGAATGTTTATTTCTTTCTTGTACAATTGGCACCGTTTGTAGGAATATCAGACAAAAAACAAAACCTCTTGATCAAGTTTCCTTCGCTAATTGAATGGCTCACAACGAAGATTTGCCACAATTCGCCATCGACGGACAAACCCCGGAGGGGGGTGAGAGGCGCGAAGGATTGCCCTCTATCCCTCTCATGGCGGACTTAAAGCCCCAGCGACAGAATCCCCGGAGGGATATAAGGGGGAGGCGGAACAACAGCCCCCGTCGCTCTCGCTCACAAAGTCCTGAAAGGTAAAGGCGAAGAATCGACCCTAAAACTCTGGAGGATCGCGTAAAAGAGCAAAATGAACTAATAAGGAAGATGGCGGCGGACATTGAGGCCATGAAACGCCGGATCAAGGGAAAAGGGGTGGCGACAGGAGAGGGGCGCAAAGGCAATACGCCTCATCGCCACTCAGAAGATCGTGGTAGACATACCACGCCATCGCAAGTAGAGAGTAGGAGCCTCAGGACAGGCGACACTCTTTAAGAACCTCCAGAACTCGTTACTCCAGGTCTGAGAAAACGAGATCATTGAGGTCCTACACTGAGGGAAGCACCTATCGGCCCTCACATACGCACCAGACATCATCCAGGCAAATGGAGTTGTCAAGATCGTCCGACTTACGGACTGTGCTAGAAGAAAGGGCATGACAAAAGGAGGATGCCAGGGCACGCGACCCACACAGAGTTTCAGCCCTTCAGCGGTTGGCTCCTCGGACGCATGGAAGCGTCGAGGTTGGAATGCCAATACCGCACCTTGCCTACGAACCAACAGATAAAGTATTGGCAAGATTACATAGCTCGCCGTTCGTTCCGGCGATTGAGAACGCACCATTACCCTCAGGCTTCATCCAGCCTAAATTTACCACGTATGAAGGGAAGACAGATCCTTACATGCACCTAAGCCACTTTCGCCAAGTCATGGCAGTATACCGGCGAAACGAGGCTTTGATGTGCATCCTATTCTCATCAAGCCTTGGCGACCTAGGTTTAACCTGGTTTGAAAGGCTACCAGAAGGCAGCATAGCCTCTTGGGTGCAATTAGCGGAGGCGTTCGTGACAAGGTTCAGAACGAACACCAAGACGCCAGTAGAGATCGATCAGCTACTCTCCATTGACATGGGCGACAAGGAGATGTTGAGATCCTACAACAGTCGTTATTGGAAGACCTTCAACCAAATAGGAGATTGCCCCACAAATCTCGCCATTGCGCAGTACAAAAGAGGTCTTCTAGTCAGAAACAGGTTGAGGGACTCAATCACCATAACGCCACCCCTCACAATGTAAGCTTTAATGGAGAGGGTACACCAACATATTCGGGTGGAGGAGGAGGATGGCACTCGTGCCAAGGCAAAATTTGGTGCAACAACAACACCAGACAAGAAGACTACAGCGAAGGTCAATACGGTAGAACGTCAAAGCAAAAATGGACGAGGCAGGCGAGACAACGAAGAGGACCAAGATAAAAGATGGTTGAGAGTCCGTACTGCTATTACCACGGTATTCAAGAAACCAAAATCTACGGATTCTCAGTGAGATACGCGATAAACCTTTCGTCAAATGGCCAACTAAATTGGGAAAGCACAGAAGACTACGACGAAAGATCTCGGTGCACCTTCCATAAGGAAAAGGGCACCGCACTGAAAACTGCACGCCATTGAGACAACATCTAGAGGAATTAGTGGCAGCTGGTCACCTAAACCGGTATATAAAGGAGGGACACAGCCAGCCCCCCAAAATCACAGATCATCCAGACGGAACTCCAATTGACAGCCCACCTCAAGGCGTGATAAACGTAATACATGGGTATTCGAGCCTGGAGCGAGTATGTGAACTCAGGACATGATAAAGAAGGCTGAACTTAAGGGAGATATTGAGTGCACAGCCGCATCATTAAAAAAGGGAAAACAGAGGCCACAAATTCATGTCTTTTTTAGACGAGACTTGGAAAGTAATATATGCCCTCACAACGATGCACTGGTCGTCTCTCTCTGCATCAAGGATTACGATGTCAAGCGAATTTTGATTGACCAAGGAAGCTCATGTGAGATAATGTACTACGAAACTTTCAAACAGTTAAAATTAAAGGACAAAGATTTGGCACTGTCGAATCTCCCCTGATTGAGTTCAACTCAATGCCAGAATGGCCAGTCGGCAAGATAATCCTCATAGTCAGAGCTGGAAGCATAACTAAACAAGGAATTCTGGTATTGAAAGTACCACTCCACTTACAACTTAATCTGGAAAAGACATGGCTGCACGCC